TAAACTTCATATGGAACCAAAAGAGAGCCCACATAGCCAAGTCAATCCTAAGCAAAAAGAACAAAGCAGGAGGCATCACACTACCAGACTTCAAGCTATACTACAAGACTACAGTAATCAAAACAGCATGGTAGTGGTACCAAAACAGTGATATAGACCAATGGAACAGAACAGAGGCCTTGGAGGCAACACAACACATCTACAACCATCTGATCTTTGACAAACCTGACAAAAACAAGCAATGGGGAAAGGATTTCCTGTTTAATAAATGGTGTTGGGAAAACTGACTAACCATGTGCAGAAAACAGAAGCTGGACCCCTTCCTGACACCTTACACTAAAATTAACTCCAGATGGATTAAAGACTTAAACATAAAACCTAACACCATAAAAACCCTAGAAGAAAATCTAGGCAAAACCATAGGCAAGGACTTCATGACCAAAACACCAAAAGCATTGGCAACTAAAGCCAAAATAGACAAATGGGACCTAATCAAACTCCACAGCTTCTGCACAGCAAAAGAAACAGTCATTAGAGTGAACGGGCAACCAACAGAATGGGAAAAAATTTTTGCAATCTACCCATCTGACAAAGGGCTGATATCCAGAATCTACAAAGAACTAAAACAGATTTACAAGAAAAAAGCAAGCCCATTCAAAAGTGGGTGAAGAATATGAACAGACACTTTACAAAAGAAGGCATACATGAGACCAACAAACATATGAAAAAATGCTCATCATCACTGGTCATTAGAGAAATGCAAATCAAAACTACATTGAGATACCATCTCATGCCAGTTAGAATGGTGATCATCAAAAAATATGGAGACAACAGATGCTGGAGAGGATGTGGAGAAATAGGAACACTTTTACACTGTTGGTGGGAGTGTAAATTAGTTCAACCATTGTGGAAGACCATGTGGCGATTCCTCAAGGACCTAGAAATAGAAATTCCATTTGACCCAGCAATCCCGTTACTGGGTATATATTCAAAGGATTATAAATCGTTCTACTATAAGGACACGTGCACACGAATGTTCGTTGCAGCACTGTTTACAATAACAAAGACCTGGAACCAACCCAAATACCCATCGATGATAGACTGGTCAGGGAAAATGTGGCACATATACACCATGGAATATTATGCAGCCATCAAAAATGATGAGTTTGTGTCCTTTGTAGGGACATGGATGAACCTGGAAACCATCATTCTCAGCAAACTGACACAAGAACAGAAAATCAAACACCGCATGTTCTCACTCATAGGTGGGTGTTGAACAATGAAAACACATGGACACAGGGAGGGGAGCATCACACACTGGGCTATGTCGGGGGGAAATAGGGGAGGGACAGTGGGGGGTAGGGAGTTGGGGAGAGATAGCATAGTGAGAAATGCCAGATATAGGTGAAGGGGAGGAAGGCAGCAAATCACACTGCCATGTGTGTACCTATGCAACAATCTTGCATTTTCTTCACATGTACCCCAAAACCTAAAATGCAATTTAAAAATTAAACTAAATTTTAAAAAAGAAAACCTCTTAGAAGGAAGATATGATAAAAATGAGGTAGCAAAGCAAAATTCAAATTCATTTGAAAACAGGATTAGTTATAATAAGTTTCATTAATGTAACTCAAATGGCGGGAAGAAATGAATTTAAAGCAGAGTGGGATAGAGGCATGAAAATGTGGGTCACCAGTATCTGTACCATGTAGAGGTAGTTGCTGTAACTGGGGGTATAGTTAAGGTCATCTGTGAAAACATGGAATGTGGAAAGAGAAGAACATTCCAAAAATTGAACTGTGCAAAAGTATATCCTATGTGGTAGGGTCTAGAAAAAGAGGTTTCTACAAAAGAACTGGAGATAAGTTTTCAGAGATAAAAAAATGAAAACTAAGGGAGCTAAAGGGGCAAGGGGGGGGGGGGAATTTAAGGAGTTTAAAACAATAGTTGATGGTGGCAAATAGGTCATTATAAAGATGAGATGAAAAGTGCCCTCCGGAAGACCCCTTGGTGGCCCTAATAAACACAGTGTCTTTTGCATGATAGGCAGAGCCCTATCATGAGGGCTGGAGGAGTAAGTACAGAGATGAGATAATAGAAACAAGAACAGAGACAATTCTTTCAAAAGAGATGGCTGATGAATGCAAGAGCAGAAAGGCCCATGCTCAGTCAAGGAGGCAGAGTGTCTTGAAGTGGTAGGAGTGCTTGCTTATCTTTATAGGATGAAAGGAGAAAGCCAACGGTGAGAGTGGGCTGAGGAAAGGGAGGGAGGAAAGAATGGTGGCAGGCAGGAGTCCTGAGGAGATGGGAAAAGAGGAAACCTGAGCCCCAGCAAAGGGCTGGCAGTGGAGGAGCAGACTGTTAGTGCCATGTTGTAAGAGAAGGGGCAGTGGAACACAGTTTGTAATGGAGGGCATGAAGTCTTCCTGAACTGGAAGTGCATGCCTTTGGAGGGAAGGCCAAAATTTTAGAAAAATATTATGTTCTGAAAATCTCTCTTCAGCTGCATGTCTCTGCTGTCACTCCCAGCTTTGCTTGTACACATTATTGCCATTGTTTTTATTGTGTGCCTGTTGACATACCTGCCGGAATTTTGGAAAACTGTGTGAGAAATCATGAATTTCACCATGGTTGTTTGGATGGCTGGATTAATTGTTTCTTTTGGAAACTTTTATGGGGCTTTAGTAGTTTAACAGTCTCCAGCTTGCAAAGGTGCTTGGGATGTTAGTTCTTTCATTTTCTGTGGCTCATTACCATTTGAGTAATGTCTGCTCGTTCGCTCAGTTGGCTCCAGTTTTCAGGAATAAGGGCCAAGGCTTTTCAGCCCTGAACAATATCTAGGGTGGTCAGAGATCCCTGCAGCCCAATGTAGAAATCACGCATTGTCATTATGAATCGCATGCATGTTCCGACTGTTTTACATGGCATGGTGACAAAACTGACTGGCGTAGGCTGGGCTGTATAGGATGATCTTGCACCATATCAACTCTGTGAAGTGGTTGAAGCTGACTTTTCAGTGTCAGCCCTGGGCTGCAGACTCTCTTGAGTGAGGAAAGAACAAAGAGAAGCCAAATAACGTACCAAAATAGGCTGAGTTATATTTCCTTTCCTTTCTAGTCCCAGCTCTACCCCTGTCTTCCCGCCTCACTAGCTCTTATATCTTCGTTTACTGAGCTTAAAATCATGGCAGAAATAAAGATGAGGAGGTAAGCTCTGAAAGCAAACATAGAAAACAGGATAAAGAGAAGAGGCAGACATTTATTAGAGCTCTACAGTTTGTAAAATGATTGCATCTACATTATCTCATATAATTATCTGTGTTTTACACATAAGGAAACTGAGCCCCAGAGACATTAAATGAATTATTTGTCCAGAACCATAGAGTTAATAAGTGTCAGAACTAGGACTTCAATCTAGATCTTATGGCTCCAAATTCATCGTCCTTTATACAAAAGGTTAAGCCATCAGCTAGTATTCATGCTATTAATATATTAAGAATTTTTAAAAATATAAAATGATTTATTGCTAGGCTTGCAATTATGGGTTTTTCTAAGATTAGTGCTATGTAAATATTAGCTACTGACATTATTATTACTACTGCCACCAAAATTATGGACTGAACTATATCCCTGCCTCATTAGTTCTCATATCTAGAGGAACTTATTTAATTCAGTTTAATAATTGCCTAGTATCTTGGGTAAATAAAATATTGTCCACATCTTTGGGAAGCAGAGAAAGCAGTTACGTAAACATATAGGAGAACCATCATGTGATGAGTTTGTAATGGACATATGCCTAACATAAGGAAATAATACAGAACAATGGTTCTCAAACTTCATTATGCATCAGAATCACCTATGTGGCTTGTGAAAAAACAGATCGCTGGGCCCCACCATTAGAGTTCCTGATTCAGTAAGTCTGAGATGGAGCCCAAGAATGTGAATTTCTAACAAATCCTAGGCTGTGTTGATACCACTCGTCCAGAGACCACACTTTGGAAGTTGGCATTAATTCCTTATGGGTCAGGGGGTCTGAAAAGATTGTGTAGAAGTGATACCTAGGCAAAGCCTGAAGAATTAAAAGGTGTTTGCTTAGGAAAATGGGCAAAATGGCATTTCAGGTAGATGGAATAGCATATGTAAAGGTATAGACAGGCAAAACAACAGGTAGGGCAACCACCAAGAATTTGTTATTGCCACAATCAAAAGAAGTAGACAATGTGAGATGAGGCTGAGCTCATGGAAGGCTTTAGGTGCCGTGCTAAGGCATATGGTCTTTGTCCTTTAGGCTGTGCAGAGCGTTAGTCAAATTTTTATTTCAGAAAGCTGATTAATTCTAGTGTTAGTATAAAGGCCTAGAGGAAAGTCCCACTTACTATCTAAACATGAAAGAGCTCCTTTGAATGTCTATAATATTATGCCCAGGGATTAGTCAATATGTACACATCTTGTTATTTCAGTTAAACAGTTAATCAGTCCCTGTGTGCCATGCACATATACAAATCAAAAATATCATTTTTTCCCCCAAGTGCTTATGGAAGCCAACACCTACAGATAAGAAATGCCACAGCACAAGACCAGGCAGAAACTTACCAAGAGGAGAAAAGAGAAAAGTCAGTAAGAGCTAAAGCAATCAGCCAGGGCTTCATGGATAAGCAGAGCACAGCTGGCCTTGCCTTGTGGGATGGTGGCATTTGCATGGCTGGAGGAGGGCACTGCAGGAAAGGGGGACCCCTGAGTAAAGAAACAGAAGTCAAACAAAACTTTGGAAGCACAGGGACATTGAAGAGGCAGAGGAAGCTGGTCAACCTTTGATGGAGCTCTTCCTCAGTCATGGTAGAGAAGTGGAAAAGAAGTCTGGAAAACAAATTTAGATCAAAAAGCCTATTTTCACTAGGAATAACCTCTGGAAGAATTCTATAACAGGAATAAATTATAGAGATAGAAGATGTAATACTTCTCAACTAACTGCAAGTCCCCTCTTCACTCTTCTCACCCAAGGACAATAGGAGTCAAGGGAACAGGCTACAAAAGCTTGGATTGGAGGACACAGGCAGGGAAGATGCACTGGGCTTTGGTTCCCATAGGGCCAAACTGACAGTAGTTGCTGCCCTGGGAGCCTGCCATTGTCCTGAGAATGAGGTATGTTGGCAATCTGACAGTTCCTTATAAAAGGCCATCTGTCCTGTGAACTGGGATGAAGGCCTGGGAAGCCCTCCATTCCAGCTCCCAGATGGTAGCACAATGCATACTTGCAAGGGAGACTTCTTGGATCATTTGCTCATTCCCAAATTTGCAAATGTGGAAACATTTTTGGATGTTGGTTTTGTGAGCTCTGTGTTTCCTGTGCATTTCTTCACATCACAGCTTAACAATCTTCATAGCATTCCCTTAAGCCTTCTCTTCCATCCAAAGAGTAGTGTTTATACTTACTGAAACATCCGCAAATTGATTTTGTCTTGTCTTTATAAAAAATGATGGATTTGTTCACAATGTAGATTGGAGTCACTGCCAAATTTGACGTTCCATATACCCTTAAAATTTATCAAAACTTTGACTTTCTGGATAACCTATCATCCTGTTTAGATTGCTGTACTTTTTTATTTCTAGTCCCAGGAGTAGCAAATGATATTTTCTCTAGTCATTGTTACCAGAGAATTAAAATAGATGCCTTCACCAAAGTGACTTCCTATGTGACTCTGGGTGGAGAGGCAAAGTGCCATAAGTGATTTAGTTTGAGGCAGTGGCAGTGGCTTAGCTAGGCTAGTGTCTGCCTGTGACTCGGTCCCCATACCAGCCAGGTGCTGCTCAAATTTAAACCTCATTAGTTAAAACTTACTGCGCACTGTGGGCCTTTGAGGGCAAATAAGAAGAGTTGAAGCAATAGCGAATTCTTCAGAGATTCTGATACGTCTGACTTTAGGGTGGGAGATGGCAGTTAGGAAGCATGTGCCTCGAAATACAGATAGCAGCTCACCCATTTTAATCAGATATCTATCATTAAGTCCAGTGAAAAAATCTTACTGAATTTTTCATTAACTATATTTAAACACAGTTCATCTTAGATTCTCTCTTTCTAAAACCTTGCCTTGGATGAAAAGAAAAGAAAAAAAAAAAGAATGAGACTTTGCCAAAGGGTGTTTCATGGGACACATGGCAACCAAAACAAAAGGCCCAATTTTAATTGAATTATAGGCTGTGTAATTATTTAACCTGTACCAGCTGGTCTCAAGAAGCTACCAGATTCCTTAGAGAGCTTGTACTTGGCCAGAAACATAAGGTACCTTATTAGTACCAAGAAAAATGCTTTCTGTACCCATGTTACCCCAGACCCCCAAAGAACATAACATGAAAAAAAAATACTTATAGGTTAATTTGGGGTTTAAGAGGCAGTCATCCCTCCCTCTGAGCATGTGGGTGGGTTTGCGAAAGCACCTGTAGTCTCTGAGGCATGGCCAATATAAACAGGATGTTATTGCATCAGACAGGTAAGGGCAATTTCTCTAATTAGTCATTGGAGATTTCATTTTTCGCTTGCAAATACTGGAAATTAATTTGCTTGTGACATGCAGTTGGCAAACTGACAATATCTACAACAGTTCCACCCTATGTCTTGCTGTCCTGGTTGCCTGGGGAAAGCACAAGGACATCTCAATGCAGACGCTTTGCTTCATCTATCGACATCAAGCTAACTAAAGTACCTTCTTAGTGATAAATGTGTCCTAATTACACATTCCTCACTTGTAATGCTAGAGTAATCCTAATGAGTTTCCTGTGATCATTTTTCTTTTAGATTAAATGCTTTCTCTCAATCCCCCCAAATTTTGCAGTGGTGAAATAATTTATAATACAAACTCATTCACATTAAGAACATTGTCCCTAGAGGTAAAAAGCAAAGTAGTTTTAGGAAGCTGCATTTTATGAATTAAAGTATGAGTGTGATTGAAGATAATCCCTGACTTGGTCTTTTATTAGAGAACAAGTTTATTTTACTTATTTTGTTTTAAAACACCCTCCTCTAAAGAAAGATTGATTGGCATCACATGTCATCCCCATAAATCATAGCTATTGATTTTACATTTGTTTTAGCCCGTCCAATCATATGCCCCCTTGTGTCATAATTTGTTATCCCAAAAACCAGCCTTTAAGTGGCTGCTGAAATTGAGCCCAGAGTCTGGTTTCTTTCCACTCAAACTAATCTATATGCGAAAGAGATGAGCTTTCAAACACAGAACCATACCCCTCTTAACTATCTATGACATTACCTTGGTATTTCCCATGGAGATAATGGATGCTATGCACTGAAACCTGTGGCAAGTGGCAACATTAGGGACTTTTGCATAGTCCAGTCAGCATCGGCCCAGACATGTCTCCTAACTGTCCCCAATGTTGCAGGAAGTCAGGTGCTCCTGTACTAGGCTTTTCACAGACAAGCTCATCCTTAGGATTCAGAATGCAATTATCAAGGCCATCTTCTTGAAACTCTCAGGGTCACACAGTTCTTCTGTCTTCCACAAGTAGCAGAAGTGATAAGAGGAGGAGAGTGTCTGCAGGCTATGCCCACTGATTTTTGTTAAAGAAGGTCTGCCCAGCCCTCTTTTTAAACTACATGTGGTTAGATGCTTGCAGGTAGATCTTAGGATGCTGCCAGATCACCACACAGCTCGTTTAGGGTAAAATGAGATAAATTTTCTGAAAATACATGTTGTACCCAAGTATCACTTCTTGTATTTTGTTTTTCTGGCCAATCTGAGTGAATGCTTGGATTTTAAATTTTGATTTTATGCCCTCTCTTTTCTGGCTTTCCATTCAGTATTCAGTCACATCACTCAAGACGATCCCAGAGCTGTGCCGAAGATGTGATACGCAAAACGAAGACAGATCAGGTAGGTTTTGCTCCTCCCCTCTCCTCCTTTCCTGACTTAGTGATAAGGGCTCCTGGAAAACTGTTTTCCCTCACATTGGTCTCCTCCTGCTTTTTGTTTTCTTTTCCCTTTATGGCTTCTCCACGTACACCACCCCCCACCTCATGTCCTTCCTTCAACAAACAGATGTTATGTCATCTGAAAAAGTATAGCAGGACAGGGAGGCCCTAATGAGGACTCAGCTGTGTACAGTTAAATAAATGTTCAGAGATCATCTCGGCATCTCCAAACCACAGTATATGCAGCAATTTACTGAAAACCCGAGAAACCATTGGTGACAAAACATAATGATGTAGGCGCCAATGAAAAAATGTTGGATGCATTTACTACCCATATGGCAAGGACCAGCTTGAGGGATGGTGCTTTGCCAAAGTCGGAAACCCTATCATAGATGCGACATGATAGAATCTGCAATAAGGCATACTGCAACAGTTAAGATTAAAGCAAAGGCTTTGGAGTTTAATAGTGTAAACTAAACAGAGAATTATGGCATATAGATGAAAACCAGCCGGTCAACCTTTCCTCCTTACACCCGCACCCCCAACAAAAAAAAAGTACATTCAGAGTTGTTTTCCCTCTGTATATCAAATTAAGCTTCTCTGCTTTTCCTTAGATGATGGGCAAAAATGAAAATAAAAAAGGATATTGATGGGAATTATACCATGCTATGAAACTGTTTATTATTTTTTCTAAGTAATTACTCTATGGCATCATCACTAACCTTGCCAAAGCCGGACCTCCCCTGATAGTCACTAGAATCCTGAGAACCTGATAATCCTCAAATTATGTGTATTGTGTTTAAAAATAAACAGATGTGCCTTACCTATACAGCTACTAGAATTCTAGGCCTTTCTAATGAAAAGGATTTTTACGAAGCTAATTTACTTTTCCCCCGGACTGTTTGTTTTCTTTTGACATTTTGCTTAGGAGAGACAGGAAAAATAATTAGTCTTTCTAGATTTGTTTATCTCAGTGTTTGTGTGTGTGTGTGTAAATGAAAGTAACGCTTCCATGCTTGGGTCAGATACATCAGAGAAGATAGTTTTCTGTTCAGATAAAAGCTTTTACTTACCTTCACTTATTTTTTATTTCAAAAACATTCAAGTTCATGTAAGATTTAGTAGAGGCTCTTGGCTATAAATCTTATAAGGATGTGTCTGCTTAAAAGGCAGTGCTCGTTTCAAACTTGAACCAATGACTGCTATCAATGGCATAGGTAGCAGACTGCAGTGGCAAGGCTGCCAACATCAGAGTCACCGGGCCTGGGTTCGAGTTAGAGTTCAGGCACTTATCAGCTAAATGACCCTGAATCTGTGACTAGTTGTCTATAAAATAGAGAAGAAACCTGTACCAATGTTGCCCAGCTGTTCTTTGGATCAAAATTAAGTGATGTATCAAAAGGGTACTTTGCAGATACAAGATTTTCTTTTTTCTTTATTTGGACATAGGGAATAAGAGAGAAGAAATAATAGCAAATGCTTCATTAGTGCTTAATGTGGGTACTATTGTAAGTCCTCTACTTATATTAATCCCATTAATCCTAAAATAGTTGTGAGCTAAGTACTATTAGGATGTTTATATTATGGATGGGCAAACTGAGGAACAGAGATGAGAAGTTAAATATCTTACCCAGAGGTACACAGCAATTAAGTTATAGAGCTGGGATTCAAACCCCAGGAAATCTACTTCCAGATTCTGTTATCTTATCCCTTACATATATAACCTTCCAGATAGTTTGACTTAATGGCAATAATTTATTTTTAAGATATTATCCTTTTATATCTTTACAAGTCAGCATTTTCCTTGATTAAGTGGTAAATTATTTTTTCTCTGTTAAATGGTGACTCTTACCAAGTTAAGTGAATAAACAGAAACTTTTAGCAACCATTTTTCCAGTTCATTTCCATTCCAACCAAAGAGCTTGTTCATTCCATTTTCTCCAGGTTTTATAATTTCTAGTCATCTCTACAATAAATGATGGTAGACTTTTCTCCTGTGGTGGAGGAGGAGGCCAGTTTCAAACTTAGAAGCTTTTGAACTTTATCCAGAACAAAGACAGTGCTCAAGGTAATCAGCAATAATTAGACCTGACAGGAAATGGATTATGAGGGAAAGACTCAGGCTTCTTAATGGAATTGCATGTACATTTCCAATTTGACAGACCATTTGGAGGCTGGGAAACTGCATTCTGATAGATCAAGAGTGACCCTAAAGAAAGGAACCCACGGAAAAACGTGTCTGCCCACAGCATCACTATAGAATTATCCATGGGCTCCACTGAAAGAAATCTCAATGTGGTTAAGTTTTCAAAGCTAGTTTCCTAAGTAACTGAGGCATTCCTAACCAGTTTCATAGGCATACAGATGTAAAAATAACCCTCCCCACCCTGTCTTTCTTGTATCAACCACATAAGGAGTTTGCACCAGGAAAGCTAGCAAATTTCCATCTTTTCAAACAGATGCAGCAGAATGCACTTTGGCTTCGGAGAAAAGTCCACATCTTCTTTGGGATGGGGCACTCTCAGGGGCAACTTCCTCAAACTCTGTCAGTTACAGTCTACCTGATATGGTTTGGGTCCGTGTTCCCACCCAAATCTCATGTTGAATGGTAATCCCTACTGTTGGAGGCGGGGCCTGGTGGGAGGTGACTGGCTCATGATGGGGGATTTCTCACAAATACCCTCTCCTTGGTACTATCCTTGTGGTAGTGAGTGAGTTCTCATGAGATCTGGTTGTTTAAACATGTGTAGTACCTCCCCCACTCTGCGTCTTGCTCCTGCTCCTGCCATGTGAGATGCCTCATTCCACCTCTGCCTTCTGCCATAATTGGAAGCTTCTTGAGGCTACTGCAGAAGCCAAAGCTGCTGCACTTCGTGTACAGCCTGCAAAATCGTGAGCCAATTAAACGTCTTTTCTTTATAAATTATCCAATCTTTGATATTTCTTTTTAGCTGTGCAAGAATGGACTAATACGATACCCCACGAGACAAAGACTTTTCTCTTTACCTTTATAGAATAGTTACACACTTGCTGTTTTGTATAGGTTGTCAAATGTTAACATCTATTCTTATATGTATTATGTCTTTGACCAGATGTTCTCATTTGCTCTCGTATTTATTTATTCAACAAATATGTGTTGAGTGTCTCTGACCCAGGTACTGAGAACATGGTAAAGAATAAGACAGACAAGACCTCTGTGCTCATGAAGCTCACATTCTACTGGGAGTCACAGCCAAAAGGCAAGCAAACAGATAAACAAGATCACCATAGTTAGTGAGAAGAGGCACCATGAGGGACTGTCATAATTTGTAGGAGTTGGGGTAGGAGGGAGGTCTTAGGGCATCAGGGAATGTTAGAAGGCCCCAGCCATGGGAAAACCAGCAAAGTGTGTTGAAGGTGGAGGAACTAATAACTGCAAAGTGCCTGAGCCAGGAATGAGCTTAGCAATTATGAGGAAGAAAAAGAAAACCAGTGTAACTGCAGCATGGTGATCCAAATGAGGAGCAGTAAGGGATGAAGGCAGAGAGATGATCAGGGTCAGACTCCTTGGGGAGTTCAGATTTTATGCTAAGTGCAGTGAAGAGCAATGCCAGCAGGATTCCAATTTTTCTAAAATCCTATGACCTGGAAGGAAGCCTCAGCATGTAGAATCATAACTCCCACTAAGAGAAGGGACTTGCAAAATTATCTAGTCTGCAAGAAAGGGCAAGTGAGAAAGTGCAAATAATAAAGCAAATGGGTAAAATGCTGACAACTGATGAATGTGGATTAAAGATCTACAGCTATTCTTTGTACTGTTTTTGTTTTTGCAACTGTTGTATACATTTATCTACAAGTGAAAAATGCAAGAGTTATTTACAAATTAAAAGTTTTCTAAAATGCAAAAAAGAAAAAAAAAATCAGGTAGTCCAAAGTCAATCGGATCTTTGAAGGTAATCCTCCTTATCCCAGCGGCAGGGTCATCCAGCCTGCACTTCATCAAATTAGCAACAGGGAGCGCACAATCTCAGGAGGCAGCTTTTATCCATAAAGCTTTTGCTTGGCCAAAGTCAGTGTCCCTTGAATTTCCACTCATTGATCCTGACTTTTCCCTTGGAACCACAGAAAACGACAGTCCCTCCTGGACAAAAGTACCACTGTGTGTGTGGAGACAGCAGTCACTCTTGGCCCTGTCTTCTCCAGGTGAACATTTCCTTCTGCAGTTCTGCATGTGGGCTGCTCATTCTTTTCACTCTCTGGTGGATGCAGTGCAGTTACCAGCATCCCTCTTAAAGTGGAGCACCCAGAACCGAACCTGAGGTTTCTCCCCAAGTGGTCTGCTCAGAAACCTGTCAGCCCCACAGAACAGTCCCCAGGGTTTCCCACATATCTTTTCTGCTTTCCCAACTAGGGCTATCCATTTTGTCTGCTTTCTGAGCGTGCTCAGAGGAGCTGGAGAGTAAAATGCGCCCTGTTTAAGGCCTTTGAAAGCCCCTCTGTAAGACATACAGCCTCGGTCTCACCTCACTTCATCCCTGCGGCTCTAGTGATGGGCTCCAAGAATGGATAATGGCAGTGTTGTCAGAGGCCTGGAAATCGTCTCCCTGCACCTTCCACTGACTCACCAATACCCACAAATCTGCCTTAGGAGTGCCCTTTCTTTACCTTTTTTTTTTTTTTTTTTTGAGACAGTCTCACTCTGTCACCCAGGCTGCAGTGTGCAGTGGCTCAATCTCAGCTTACTGCAACCTCTGCTGCCCAAGTTCAAGCAATTCTCCTGCCTCAGCCTCCCAAGCGGCTTGGATCAGAGGCACCTGCCACTGTGCCCGGCTAATTTTTGTATTTTTAATAGAGGCTAATTTTTGTATTTTTTCACCATCTTGGTCAGGCTGGTCGTGAACTCCTGACATGGTGATCCACCTGCTTTGGCCTCCCAAAATGTTGGGATTACAGTGTGAGCCATTGCACCCAGGCCTCTGAGAG